GGACTTACCGCTCCGGGATAGGAGACAGGGGTGGAAGCATGAAGGGCAAGGGGCCCCACGAGGGCGGGGGGCATCTTGTTGTGTATCGCACTCCCAGCTGATACTATCTGGGCGCTCGACATGCTCGACATAGTCTGCAGCGCCTTCTCCTTGGCGGCATGATCCTAACAAATCGTCAAACCGATTACAACGCGTTCTCCACTTCTCCGCGAAATCTCGATTGTATCGTGGTTGGTTTTTGTTTGACTTGGAAATAGTTTAGATCTGGAGTATCCAGATATACGTGTTATATGTACACATATTCGTTGCTCTTCACGCACAAACATATTGCGAGTTTATTTTGGCAAATCTTTCTCCAATTTCCACCTACAAATCGAATCTCGCGTTGGCAACAATTCCACGTATAATATAACGAACAACGCCGGCAATTGTGTAATTATTAACGCGCGAAGGAACACTCCGTTCAAAGATTCAAAGATTCAAACCCGAAAGAAATCGGAGAAGAAATTCATGAATTCGTTGATTGGCCGTTGGTGTGTATCCGCGCGGATCAACAACCGGCCGATGTAAAATTAAATCGGCGAACGATTTCTCTTGGTTTGCCTGCATAATTTCGTTCGCCGCCGCTGAATTTCCAACCCCCTTCAACCCGCGGCTCCCTCGGTTCACCCTCGGTCGGTTCTGTCGCTGTTTCAAGCCCGACCCGAGCCGCGGTTGATGTCATCGATCGCTATCGAGTGAAACGGCAATGCAGTTGATTGCAGAAACAAGGCTGGTTTTGGGTCGCGAAATTCGCGGGAATTTTGCGCTTTTATCGGAAAGCCGTCGTTTTAATCAGCGCCATCCCCAACGCGCTGTCGAAAATTGCTGACGAAGCAAACGCGAGAGCTTCGATTCCCGTGATATCCGGGAAATTGGCGTGTACCACCAACCCTTCCACGGATCCTCCTCCTCCCTTCCCCGCTTTTCTCTCCCCCCCCTCCCCCTCCCCAACCCCACCTGCTCCCCCGGCGCGCGCGGTACAGGCCTTTTCAATTTCGTTCATAAATCCGTAATGGAAGAGCCATTACAAGCTCTGGCCCATTCGAAATGAAGCGTGCTGCGTAACAATGCGCGTCGATAAAGCGGCCTTTCTCTCTTTGGTCAACCTGCGCGCTCCCAAAAATCGTCAACTTTTGCCCCTCTGTGTTCTCTCTCTCTTTTCTTTTTACATCGAACGAACGAGAGATCGGCAGCAATTTCTGTGGAATCAGCTTTTCCATCGGCTAGAATCCAATCGTCACTCCTTTTTATCGCTATCGGTTTAGTTATTCGATCGACGGTCGAGGTTTGATAGATTGATTTTGACGAGTAACGGAGAACGTGCTCGCTACTCGAAAAAAAAAAAGAAAAACAAAAAAGAAAATTTCATGCCCGATCGATCACTCGTTCGTTTGCATCGCGCGTTCTTCTGCCCTGTCCAGGCAGGGATCGAACTCGGAATTTTTAAACAGGGAAACTCTTCGTACGAGATTTGTAATTAC